ATTGTCCAAAAAGTTATTCGATTTTGTGTTGTTGGGAGTTATTTTGTTTCTTGTTTTCAATAAATTGTATAGACATGACATGTAAGAATTAGGCGGCATCGATTAAAGAATTCGAGTGTGAGGAGAGAGAAACGGAGGGAAAGACCGAGAAACCGAAGGAAAGAGAGAAGGAGTGTGTATGTGAGAGAGTTGGTCGGTTAAAGACACATTAAACGGGCGAAAAAGTTTATCAAATGTGTTACGTTTGATGTGCAACGATCACGCGCCAAACATGAAAAGCATTATACATTTTCTCCTCGGTGTTTTTTTTCAGTTTCGTTTTGTTGTTGTTGAAAATTGAATGCGTGTTTTCGGTTTTATTTTTTGCGTGTTGAGCGCACGATCACACACAAATTCAAAATGCTGTGATTCTGAAAAGAAAAATTTGTAAAAAAATAGCAACAGCAACAGCCGCAGCAGCACTTGCTCGATGACAAATTCACATTGGCACGTCAGAGGTAGTGTGTTTCTTTTAGAAATTAAAAAGTCACTATCGGTGATGGTTGAAGAAAGGCAAAGTAAAATGATATTACTTCTCGCTGCTATTGTGGCTTTTCAAAGTGAAACGACACATTCGGTAAAAGCGGCGTGTATGTATCGAATACTAATGACTAAGCGTACACACAATTAAAAAATGACTGTGCAAATATGTGGTGAAGTGATGGGCTGACTGTGACGTTAATTTTTTCTTCTTCTTTTGCATTCGAGTTTTGGAAGCAATACATTTGCAAACTATCAAGAAATCAAGTCATTTTCTGATGTTTAAGATCGATTTCATTGGTAATCTATGTCACGGATCAATAGTTCATCGTGCGCTACACGAAGCGGTTTATTTTTCCCTGCGGTTCTACCTTTAGATGGTAGCCGCACCACAGTTGCTGCTGCTGCTGTTGTTGTTTTTGTCGCTGCATTTCCAGTTCAGTTCTAATGTTCAAGGGAAAAGTGCAACTGCAATTGAAGGAGAAAAAAAAATCAAAAGCGCTCAACTACGGGCGAGAAAGTAAAGTCGCACGGTCGCTGCTCTGCAGCCGTTGCTTTCAGTGATATCTTTTTTGCTACTCTCACATACCGCAGAAAAAATATGGCTAGGCAGTGCCTAGTAGGCACCTTTGATCCATGTATTTAGCGGCTGCACACCGTTCTGCAATCATAATGTATGATATGCATTCGATGAGGTGAAGAATTGAAGATAGAAGAGAGAGAGAGGAAAACCAGCACTGAATGTCATTTGCTTCTCTCGTGTTTCCCTATTTAGTACCGTTTTGATTGTTCCAAGGAGAAATTTGCAATATTAAGAAGAGAAAAAAAGTACGATTGTTTGCAGTCATACATATGGCAATTAAATTATGGCCCGAATGAAAACGCTAAATGTGCCAAAAGGTAAAGAGGACAGTTGAAAACAATCGGCTTAAAAGAAATGCGTACTCAGCAAAAGCTGAAATTCCAGAGCCAAACGAAAGAAAAAATACAAAGTCATATATTGCCGGTGCAAAAAAGAAAAAAAAAAAAGAAAAAAAATGGCAGCAGCAACATCAGCAGCACCACGCTCACCATTTTCATGGAAAAGAAAATGAAGTAAATGGCTTTCGTTCTTCACAATGAAGTCGGTATACTATTATGTTTGGCAGTCAATCTATGACCAATAAATTTCGGTCGCAAAGTGCTAGTCGATTCCGATCACCATCGTTGTCGTGTGTACGTGCAATATTTTCACATTAGAAAAAAAAACAACAAAGAAGAAACAAACCCGTCATCTATTTGAAACAGAAGGAGGAAGAAAAAAAGCACACGAAGCACGAAAGGAAAACGCAATTCGAAAAAGTATGGAATCATCGCGCCATTTAAGCGTTTTTGATTTACATATATGAGAACACGCATGAGACAGAGTTCGAGTGAAAATAAAACATGCGAAGACAGAAAAAAACACAAACACAGAATTATGCTGCATATTTAGTACACGACGATCACACACTAACATACATAATAAAATAGCATTTTTGTGTTTTAGCTTATGTTACGGTGTAACCCTAAGAATTTGCGGGCACCATGAAAAATGCTTCGTACGTGGTCTTGTTTTTGGATTGTGCTTCTTTAATTTCTCTCTCTCTCTCTCTCTCTCTCTCTCTCTCTCTCTCTCTCTCTCTTCGGGGCGTTTTCAAGAATTTAGTCGCTTTAGTGGCGTGTTTCTTTCTTTACGACGGAGTTTTTGATGATCAGATCGCTCAAAGCGTGTATCATGTAAACATGATGTCGTTTTACTTTTATTCGATGGAAATGAAAAATTTCCGGGCCAAAAGTTCAAAGGTGAGTCGAAAATGGTTTTTGGTCGGGCCATTTTGGTTTTTTTTTGTTTTGGTTGAAAAAGTGATCGGCTTCGAATTAGGCACCAAAACCACAGGCACTGTGTTAGGAATTCATTGTCAAGACCGGGATTTAACCGAAAATGAAGCAAGAGAAGACAAATCGAAGCAAGTTAAAAAAGCGAAAGAACACAACCCAAAAAACACAAACATACGTGCAAAGAGGGAGAGACAGAAGAAAACATGGATCATAATTATTTAAATACCTCCGCGTTCACAGGCAATCATTTTGTCCAAACTGAATTTTTGAAATGCAGGTTTTCTTGTTTTAGTTTTTTTTATTCTCTCTCTCCCTATTTCTCGTTTTTTTTTTGTTTCATTGAAGAAAGAGCATTTGGAATGGCCGGTTGAAACAAAATACCATTTCACCAGCAACTGTCAACTCAATGGACTAAATGAATGCGACGAACGAACGAAAGAATTTTCGTTGGTTTTATTCGTTTCTTTCGGATTTAATTTTCATGATGCACGCACTTTCTTTGACAATATCACCGAAGACAAAAATACACACAGAGAGACATTTTCCATGACATGTTAAAAGCCATGACATCATGAGATGTATCGGTTTCTCTTTTTCAAATGCAAATTGAATGCGGAGCAACATGTTTTATTGTGCAGAAACGCGCTATCAGAGAGATTGAGAGAAAGGGGTACTATGGCGAAGACAAATGCAAGCAGCGAAAACAACAATGACGATAAGAAAAAGACAGCTAGCTGTGCACTGATAAGAAGTATTTTTTTCTGCACATTTTGAATGATAGCGATGACAAAATAGTGATGGAACAGACAGTAATGCATCAAAAAGACTAGGAAAAATGTTAAAATTATTTTCTTTTTCCAAGACTTAACCGGTCATTTTACGTATGTCTGTTTTACATGATATTACGCATCTCGAGTTTTACAACAGACTTTTCTGTGTATGTGAGAGTCGTCATGACAGTACAGAATATGTTTCTTTCTTCGTTCTTGTTTGGTAAGTTGAATTCATTCAATTGCTGGTTCAGGTCTGATAGCCAGTGTTTATGTGAGCGCGTCATAATTGCGCCTTGTGTCAGTGCGAGTAAATAAACATGAAATATGACTTATTTGTATATTTGACGAATTCGTTGGCTCTGTTTTTTGGAAGTGGGTCAGACATTCTTTTTATTCTTCCTCGTCTTGAGAATAGGCAATTTTCTTTTTAATGTCGTAAAAAATTGAACCAACATACACACACACACACACACAGAGAGAGAGAGAGAGAGAGAGAGAGAGAGAGAGAGAGAGAGAGAGAGAGAGAGAGAGAGAGAGAGAAAAGAGAGAGAAGAATGTTGAGACTACAATTGATGCTAACTACTACTGTGGCTCGTTTCATTCTTGTGGTGTCGTTCTTATTTCGTTCTTACTATTTTGTTTGTGTGATTGTTTATCAGAGTGTCTTGATATTTATCTGATCCCAAGTGATACGTGAGTTTCGACTCGAAACTTTTGCTTTCTAAAAAAAATACAATTCGTATGACTCATGCAATCAAAAATGACGTTGGTCGAAAAAAGTGCACAATTTTCGTTTAGTGAAAACGAACCATTAATTTGTAGGTCAATGGTTTGGAACCGTTTAGTCACGTACATTCAACGAAATTCATTCCAATTTCTTGGTTTCTTAATTTCGGCCCGAGATCAATTTCAAGGCTAATTCAACATTTCAGTTGCACTTTGCTCATCGTTAAAACAAGCAAAGTCATTCCAAAAAAATCTTTCTTCAAATTGAAAAAAAGAAGAAGAAGAAACCAACGCACATTTCCGGCTGTAAAAATAGGACTAACAATACATTCACACGATAAGAACCATGGCCAATGATTTGTATCTCAGCTATTTACAAATTCAAATGATCGCATTAGATTCGATAGAAATGCTACTTTTTTTTCATCCACCATTATTAAAATACAGAAAAAAAGAAGAAAGAAGAAGAAATGGAAATAGCATTACAAACGAAAATTCAATATACAACTTAATGACCAATGAACGAGACCACTTGTGCGCACCGGATCATTTATGAATCAAAGCGCACGCATCAGATTGATTCACTGGCCCGAACGCGCGCTCATCGAATACTGTTAATTTAAAACATAAACACAACGAAGAAATAACACACTTTTTTCTATCATTTCTTCTCCGGTGCGTCTGTGTGTATTTTTCTCTTTTTCTTCTTCTTAAAGCCACATTCAGTTCTAGGTAAAGAACCGAATCAGTGTTCTTTTTCTTATTTTTTGATATTCATTGTGTGCCGTTTGCATATTCATTCCATTCATTCGAATTGAAATGATTTTCATTTGATGGTTTTCGATTACAATTTGATTTGGAGCAAGTAAGAGACACATTCGTTCCAAACAATTTTCATCACAAAAATGATCAAATTTTTTCCCCTCGAAGAATTATTCGTAATTATCAAGTGATTATAATCACGCTTGTCATTCACCGCACGATGTGTTTTTTTTATCAAAGAATCGCAAGATTCCATGAATTTTTCTTTTAGCGCATTTCGCAAAAAGAAGAAACGAAATGAAGCCAACAAAAAACAAACAAAAAACAAATCGAAACAAAAATTTCAATTAGATTACATACCTCGATCGTTCGTTGTACTTAATCCATCAACGGTATAGCTAAAATCGATGATCGTTATTAACACAAAATATAGCACAAAAAACCACTGTCTGTACGGTTGCAATCTCAGCGAACATTTTAATGAAGTCATTGTCATTCGATTTAATTTCATTTGTGAACGAATGAGTGAGCGAGCGAGCGATAATATGAGATGATAATGGAGTTCGTGATTTTCTTGTTTGAACAAAATAAGTTCGGGTGTGTATGATGATATTACCGCTTTACATCAGAAGAATCATCTATGTGGCGATGATGCCAGAAAAAAATTCGGTTATTCTTTTTTTGGTTTTGTTTCAATTCTTTCTCTCTCTTTTGTTGTTCGATGTGAACGCTATTTTGCTGTTACTTTGGATGAATTCGATGTTTTAGATTCTATTTGTGCTGGCGGCTCGCGAACTATGCAAACAATAATGCTCAAGCGAATGAACGCATTATTCGGTTAAACTGGGCGTCTCTTCCGAGATGATGCTGACGATGATGATGATGATGATCAAAAGCGGTCGAGATAGTGAATATTTAAAAAAGGCGGCCACAATGTGAGCAAAAAATGCAGTTAAAAGTTAGTGGTAATATGCGAATTTATTCAGAGAAAAAAAAAACCATTGATGTTACGATTTTTCATTCGGCTATTATGCTTAATTTTTTACCGATCGTTTTTTTTCTCTTCTTCTTCTTTTAGTTGTTATTATGATTTATCTCACGATCAATTCAATCAATATTTTTTTTCGTTGTTGTTGTTTATGTTGTTGTATTTGTTCTCCTCTTTTACATTTTCAAAAACCATCGAATGTGATTACCGCAACACGTTACATCGATTGCACATCATTTGATCGTTTTACGTTCCAATTAATTTGTTCAATAGCAATTTGAAGAAGTTCTAGTCTAGTTTTATTTGTCCTCTTTGTTTTGCTTCAAATATGGTCGTTTCTAGGTGTCTCATTCCATTTATTTTAAAGCTCTTCCAATCGCTCATAAATTGAGTTTGGTATGTGCGATTTAAAATGCGCCACCCGATTACACTTTATGTCGAAATGTTGCCGTTTTATGTATGGTTTTTCTTTCTTTCTTCTTTTGTTGTTGATTATTTGCAGATCAAAACAGCGAATGACAGAAAAAAAAACAACAACAACAAATCCACTTGAAATTATGAACCGCTGGCACAAGAACGTTTTGGCGCGATGAGCAAAGTGGCAAAAATACGCGTCGATCGATGAAAATAGTGAATTATACGATCGAAACGATGTCGATCGATGTCACGTACACTAGCACTGATTTATTCAAATTCACAATTTATCACTGCACACGCATTGTCGATAAGAATGTGAAATTCGTATTTTTTTTTATAGTTTATTCGATTTCATTTACGGTACAAACATCCAAGTGTGGTGTTTTCGTATCCAAGTCTTTTATTGTCCGCGATTTTTTTTTGTTGCTTCGTTTCTTCAACGGTTAAAGTCGAAATTCCTTTTTGATATTTTCAAATTTTTCGGTTTCTCGTTTTACTGATATGATGAAATGAAAAAGAAGAAACCGTCAAAATATCTATAAACTTCGAATGAAGCAGATAAATAATAATGGAAACGGTGTGGAGTTTTCCGTTTACGTTTGCAGCCGAAAAAAATCACAAAAAAACCCGAAAAAAAAAACAAAATTTCTCAAACGTTATTCTTCTTTGCGACCTTCCGCAATGATAACCGATATTCAACTGACAATTAAACTCAAGACGATTAACTAAGCCGAGTCTCTTTTCTCTTGTAAGTGTTATAAGACTGTTACTGTGTGTTGTTGTTATGCTTCTTTCTTTCTTTCTTTCTTTCTTTCTTTCTCTCGTGCATTTGTATGTTGTTTCCGTCATCACCGTCGTAGATATTTACATTTTGTTGAATGGAAATTCTTTCATGTATCTGCTGACTGTGTTTTGTTTTCTTTTACTCGTTCATTCGCTACCCAAGTGCTCTGCTTTTCTCTTTTCTTTCTTTGTGGTTTCATGAGTGTGTCGCATAATAATATTGGTTTGTGGCACAGGGCGACCAGAATGTCAGTGCGGCCAAAAATTTGCAACACTTGAAAAAACGAAACAACCGATCAACCAATCAAATTGCATTATCAACGATCCACATCGATTGTATGGATGGTGGTGATGTGTAATCGATTGTGTTTGTGCAATATTCGGTCACTTATCGATCACCCTGTGCGCATAGGTGCCAAGTACGAATGTGTGTATGCTTTCTTCTTTCATTCTTCGTGTTTTTCCATTTCTTCGCGCTTTATCGTTTCTGTGTTTTAAGTGCTTGCTCAGACGGTTGGTCGTTTGTATTACAATCTTTCGTTGTTGTTTTTGTTCCGTCGTCGTCGTCGTCGGTGTGTATGCGCTGTTATGTGTTTCTGTGATTTTTTGCCATACTGTATCTTTTCATCCATTTGTGCAATCTGTTTGGATATGAGTGAACGATTTTTGAAATATGCTCTCTCTATCTCGCTGCTGCTCTCTTCCATCTACATTTCTCTATCTCTATCTCTGTCGCTCTTTTTGGGTTTCTGCGTTGCTGTCGGTGCGTGTGGTTGTGTGCAAATGTATTTGTATTATGGTATCGTTGTGTTTGTGATTGGCTCTGAGGGGATCAAATGGAAAACGATAGCTTTGCAGTAACAACAAACGGAAGACAGAAAGAGATGAACAGGAACTTGTTTACATATAGCCAATGACAATGGAACAGTTTGCTATGCAAACGAGAATTCATAAGGTAAAATTCTTTATACAGTTCGATATGGTTTGAACTTTTGTGTTTTTGGATTGTGGATGAGAGAGAGAGGGAGAGAAAGAGAGATTTCAAAGCGCAGCAACAGTCATGGGCCAAACGACGAAGTCATCCTCCATCGGAATTGATATTGATTCATTGAATAGCTTTTAATTTGGATGCGTGTGCAAATCATCTGCGTTTTTTACCGTTGCTTTTAGTGCATTCGATCGCATTCGTATCGATCAGGTTCCAAATTGAGTGCGATCCGCTGAAAGTAGATTCTGGTGTCAGGTGACAGACACACGAGAGCGGTTTGACTGCATTTTACCAAATCATCATCATTTTGTACGAAAATGAAAAAAAACGACAAAAATGAAGTTCATACACGAGAAAGAGGTGTCGGTTGAAAACCCACATAAAAAACCGGTGTGTTAATGGAAGTTAATTGAGGTGTGGGATCAATTAAATTGATTTCGATTGTTTTCCACATTATGAACCACCGCCGTCGTCATCAGTCGGCGGTTAAAAGTCGATGAGGTGCCGATTATTATCGGCATTTTGCCGGTTAATTATTTGTTATGTTTGCAACGCAGCTGATTGTTACCAACACCACTTTACCGACCCCCCCTGAAACGATGTACAACGATGGAGAGAATGATGCTTGAGCTAAAATTGCTGGTGTTGAATTTGAGTCTTTAGCTGAAAACTAGTAACGAGCGTTGCTAATTTTAAATTGAATAACAATAGCCATTGTATTTTCAATGTGCTTAAAACAAAGGTTGTGTGGCGCTCTTAAGAGAAGAAGATGGGTTGGATGAGAGAAAGAGAGAGAGAGAGAGAGAGAGAGAGCAAGGTCTTAATTTAGAAAATTACTTTTAATAGCGTTACCGAATGCAGGCCACTTCGCAGCTAAATCCAATGTAAATGAGTATAAGATTGATTACATGTTATCGCTGGCAGGCAGGCAGGCCGACTGACTGACTGGCACACTCTCATAGCAAACAAACTTGATCGCTATCTGGTTCGACAACGTGGTTTATTTTTATTGGTCCACGTCAAATTAGAATGCGGTCTGCTTATAATTTAATTGATTGTGTTTAATTTCAGGCTGAATGCAGAAGATAAAAGCCGGTCTGAAGCGAAGAGAGAAGAAAAGTGCGATGTCAAGCGGGTGGAAAAGCTAACGAAAATAAAGATGAAGAGGAAAAGACGTTTAATGGATTTTTCATTTGGGAAAACCGGTCTGACTGAGAAGACTGAGAAGATTGTCTACTTCTAATAGAGAGGCAGCAGAGTGTTAAGAATCTTCAATCATTATCTTTCTCGTTTTGAGTGAAGAGTATATTTGAATGATATGTTAGCGGGCTAATAATGTTACGAATGGCTTCGTGCACCGCATCGCATCACCATCGCAGCTCGACTGAAATATTCAAAGCCCGAAAATGAAAGATACAAACTGAAGAATAATGAAAGATGAGAGAACCACTTGTCGCTGCTGTTGCTGCCCGCATGAGATACACCAGCATGCAGAGCGGAAAAAAATGGCACACGCAAGAAGAACAAACACGACGCATTGTGATTATGTAACGATCAACAACAGTAAATATTGGGTCACGAAGCGGTTACTAGTAAAAAAGATAAAATAATTTTATACCCAATTGTATAGTGTGCCGTTGTCTAAACGGCATCCAATTGATCGCATTATCATATCTTCTCTCGCATCATCTAAGAAACAAACAAAAAACGAGAGAGTTGCCGCATCGATCGCTTTGATTTGATTTGATTCTGTTCTTGTTTTATTCTCTCGCTCTCTCTCTCTCTCACTCACTCACATTCACTCACTTCTAATTTGTTTTCATTTTGTTCTTAAATTAGCGGAAGAAGCAACACTTCGCCAAACTTCATGGTGAGCGGAACGCATTTTATTGGCATTTTTTCAAACATCGATACAAACACGTTCAAGTGTTCATTTTTTCTCTCTGCTGTGTGGCTGTTTCTTCGTTCAGTGTTTCATTTTTTCCCCGTTGAAAATACGTGCAATTCCATCCATTGGCGAAAAAAAGACAAACATTTTAATCGCTATCGCGTTTATGCTGATTCCTTTTCTACACACAACAACAACGGAAGAATGTAGCTAGTCAGTACGTGTAATCAATTGTAATTTATTTTAATTACCAATCGAATGAGAAAATTATATGATGCAAAGAAAAATAGACACTAAATTTTGACTTTGGCTTACAATTTTTGCATTTCTTTTTATTTCGCTTTTTTGCAATTTTTCCATCTTTGTGGAATAATAACTTTTCCTTATCGATTGAAACAAAGGTGCGTCTTTCGCTTTGCATTGTTCTATCTTTTTCTTTTCTTTAAAATGTCGATATTTTTAGCTGCACACAACAATGTGTTGTTTTGCGGTATTTATCATCTGTCAAAAGTAAAAGTGAATTAATAATTATTTCATTTGCCTTTAAAACTATAAATCTAAATCGAATAGACTTTTCTCAGGCGAAGAAAAGAGAACGGCAAAATGCCAACAGTGAAATGAGTGAAAATCAGTTTATTATTCAGAATATGAACAAAAGCTCTCATTCTGTCAAAAATCATATTCAATAGAATTGCTCATGTCTATTCAAATGCAATTCATCAATAGAAACATGTGTAAATCCTCTTGTAAATAGCGACGACAACGACCATCATGTTGATGATGATTGAGAGAGTTCGAAAAAAAGTACACACGAGAAGGTTGTGCATGCGATTCAAAGTAATAAAGATGAATGATGATTGTTTGTAAAGAACGATAACGAATCGATTTTGAACGTGTAATTTCCGTATATGCGCCATGCCATGCCAATAACAACAGCGTCGGTCGAAAAATTCTAGGCTGAGCCGATAAGCAATCAATTTACGGCTTAAGACAAGCATCATCAAAGAATAAAAGAGAAAAAGATCCGAATCGAAAACCTTTTTCTCGATCGGTATGGGTGTTTTCATTGTGTGTGTACGCGTTCGTCTGTATGTGCGGTGGAGTGCTTGTGTGAATGGCATTCGCATTGATATTGAGAAATTATAATGTTAAATTAACGAAGAACAAGGTAACATTCACAATCTTGCGACTTGTTCGCTAGTATTGTACCGCTATAATATATTGTACTAGTGGCCTACATTTCGTTGTGTATTTTTCTTCTTATTTATTTTCATGGACTTTTTTCCGCTTCTTTCGTCGCTGCTGCTGCTGCTTTTGGTTCTCGTTTACAGTCGCGCGAGTAGATTCTCTTTGACATGCACACACATTGTGCGGGGCATTGCAAGTGAGCAAAAGCAAGATAGATAGATAGCGAGGTAGGAAACACATCTTCATTTCCACAGAGACAGAGACAGAGACAGAGACAGACAGAGAGTGAGAAAGAGAGAGATTTGATAGAAGCAACGAGCAAGCGCGAG